AATATTAAAAAATTTTAATAACTAAAATGTATATTAGTGAAAAATTTCATGCTACCAAGTGTCAAAATTTAAAATAGCATTAGTAATGCATACTCACAAAAAGGTATAGTGCTGCAGGTGTTTGTGTCTTGATGTCTTAACTTAAAAAAAAAAAAAAAAAAAAAAAGAAGGTATAATATGACGAAAATATAACGTACATGGATGAGATGAAGATAAAAATTAGTAAAGTGACCTTTTAAATACGAAAAGAATAGTACAAAGAGATAAAGAAGCATTAACCCCTTTCCAAGGAAGAATAATAAGATTAAGAACGCGAGATTCACAAAAAAGTCAATATTATTATGATTAATAGAAAAATAATAATCTTTGTACTCCCACATAATTATATATATTCTAGACTATTTTTCTTCTATATTTAATGAACTAAATACTTATAAATTTGAAGTTAATTTACATCCATTTAAGTTTTATATACGATCGACCCATGCCTAATGACTAGGTTAAAAAACCTAACATCAACTAGAACCATACATCGAGATCTGAAATAATAATAATAATAAAAATATAATGTTTATTGAAAAAACTAGTGTAATATCATAACAAATTCTATACACTTAAGTGTATCGCGTGGATTTTTATATAAATATAATTAAGTACATTTTTCATAATATATTTTATTTAACAAGAAGAATGTGACTAATGACATTACCTTATTTTTATGGGATCTTATGAAAGTTGTTTTTAAAACATCTCACCACGCGCTTTTTACATCCCTCTTTGAATTTCCAGCAATAGCCACGTCTTGGAATATAATTTTGAATTTGAGTGGGCGGGCGGGCGGTCTTCCATCTGTTTGAAGAGAAATGCCAGCGGCAGCCGAGTCGAAGCACAATCGCTTATGACACTCGCTAGCACGTATATAATAAAAACTGTAGGCAACTTGCCAGCTATCGGAAAGCACTTAAACACATCTTTTTTACTTTTATATCCTCTTCTTTTTTCTCAACCTAACAGCCATGGTGGATTGTTTCTTGCTTCACCGCACTCCTTCGTGCCCAGAACTGAACTGAACCCTTTCCTTCTCGCTCTACCTCAACCAGGATTGATCTTGTTCGTAAGTCGTAACGGCTCAAGCAAACTCTTTTTTTTTCTGAAAGAAAGAAAAGAAAGCCCTAAGTTCGAAGAAGAAGTCGAAGATGAAGACCAAGAAGCCACTGCAGCAACTCAAGCTGACCGTTCCAGCTCAAGAAACATCAATCACTTCCTTCTTGTAAATGTCAATTTCAATATTTGTTCTTTTTTTTTTTTTTTGCTGCTGCTAAATATAGTATTGATATCGACATCTTTAATTTAAATTCCTTAACCAACTTGTTTCTTTCAGTACTTTTGATATGTTCAAATTAAAAATCTCAGGACCGCAAGTGGTACATTTCATGACGGAGATTTGCTTTTGAATCAGAAAGGTTTGCGGCTAATCTCTGAAGAAAAAGAATCCGGTGTTGTAAGTTTTGTCGGATAATTAATTAATTTCTTTAATTCGTCATCCGATCATGTTCATGTTTATGATGATTGCGGGGAATGACACAAAAGGAAAGAATCCTATACAGTCATAGGTAATTTTTGTGTTGTTGTTTACGGAAGTTCACACATAATTTTTGTCGATCTGTGCAGGCTTTGGACAGCAAGCAAGTCGATTTTGATTTCTCATTGGAAGACCTTGAGACTATCAAAGTCATCGGTAAAGGGGGTGGAGGTGTTGTGCAACTTGTTCGCCATAAATGGGTTGGCTCACTATTTGCTTTGAAGGTCATTATACCAAACCTTACCTTAGATTGTTTCCCCACAATCAATGATTTTCAATTTTCACCTTCTCTAACATTGAAATCATAGGTGTTAATTTATTAATTTATTTTTATTTTTACATAATATGGTGTACAGCATTTTGATTTTGAAACAGCAACTCATTTCTGTCTTCACAGGTCATTCAGATGAATATACAACAAGAAATTCGTAAACAAATTGTTCAGGAGCTTAAAATAAACCAAGCCTCACAATGTTCACATGTTGTTGTTTGCTACCACTCCTTCTATCACAATGGGGCCTTTTCTCTTGTATTAGAATACATGGATCGTGGGTCGCTGGCAGATGTCATCAGACAAGTTAAAACAATCCTTGAACCTTATCTGGCAGTCGTGTGTAAGCAGGTTTGATGTTTTCTTTCTTGGAATTTGGAAATTTGAAGATTGAACCAGTAAATAAAGTCCTTGCGCTTGTTTCGTATTTCCTTTCTGTTCCCTCTGACTCAACATTTATGCATACATTTCAGGTTTTACAGGGTCTTGTTTACCTGCACCATGAACGGCATGTCATACATAGGGATATTAAACCATCCAATCTGTTGGTAAACCAAAAGGGGGAAGTGAAGATAACTGATTTTGGCGTGAGTGCAATGCTAGCTAGCTCTATGGGCCAAAGGGATACCTTTGTTGGTACTTATAATTACATGTCGGTATGTGTAGGTTTTAAATTTTTGCTATTGCTTCACATCACCTAGTTTTTTTGGTTGTTGTGTTGATCAGTATTAATTTATTGTTATTTTCACTTAATCATGTGTAATAGTTTCTCTATTTTCCAAGTATTTTCCGCACACTACAGATTTTAAATGTAATTTGCATATCACTATAGTCTTTTCATTTCTTTTTTGTTTTGATTTGTTATATAGCCAGAGAGAATCAGTGGGAGCACCTATGACTATAGCAGTGATATTTGGAGTTTGGGCTTGGTGGTGCTTGAGTGTGCAATAGGACATTTTCCTTATATGCAATCTGAGGATCAACAAGGCTGGCCAAGCTTTTACGAGCTCTTAGAAGCCATCGTACACAGCCCACCACCATCTGCCCCAGCAGATCAGTTCTCCCCTGAGTTCTGTTCATTTGTATCAGCCTGGTAACAGCTTATATAAATTCATTTCACAGTTGAATGATCTAAGAGCATGGCGTGCCTCTGTCTCAAATATTTATCTATTGTTCCTTTCTTGTGGCTTCTGGGTAATATCTACTTTTACCACAGTTGAATGATCGTGTCTTTTCTGGTCTTTGCAGTATACAGAAGGATCCTCAGGACAGGTTGTCATCTTTGGACCTATTGGTTAGTAAATTAGTTTATTGTTTTGTCTATTTTGGAAATTCATGTTTTGGAACTTTTCACCATAGAGAAAAGAAGCAGAATCTTGATTATTATTCCTTTTAATGCTTATAGAGTCACCCTTTCATCAAAAAGTTCGAAAGCAAAGACATCGATCTGGGAATTTTGGTTGGCAGCTTGGAACCACCTGTTAATTACCCGAGATAGTTTCTCTCTTAATGCTGTCAGGTGAAGACTTTATCTTGTGTAATGTCAGTTGTACCAAGTTATTCTGTCTTGGAATATATTGAATGTTTTACCTCATGAATCAGCCATGAGTCTTAACCGAAACTTCACAAGTTACCTCTAGTAATCAAGAACATCATTTACATGCATCTCTCTTGCATGTTGTTGACGTCTTGCTATTGGATATCATTTATTCTCTCTTACCGAGGGGTTAGGTAAAAATTTTCAGGACAGTGGTTGCTTGACTGCTGATGTCTTTAGCAGGCTCAAGTCCAGAATTTTGGCATAAAAATAAACTTGCATTTGTCATTGTAGTTTGAGGTGGAGAAGGCTTCTCCTGTTTTTTTGTTTTGTTTGGAAACCAAAGACATGAGACATCAGTGCCTGTGTATGAAAAAGATGTTATTTTCGTATGCTTTCACGCATTTTATAAAGCTTCCAGAGCTCATTCCCAAACGTTTTTAACCAGCCCAATGTTGATTGAACCAACCATCCAGTTTAACAGAAAATGTTTTTTCAACCAACAACCAATAGCAAGCAAAGCACCCACAGGTTTCTGAAAAAAAAAAAAAAAAAGAGGCATACTAGAAAATGCTTGTAAGCCAGGGAAAAAACATAAATCAGCAGTCCTAAGAACGACTTTTTCCCTGGAATATATACAAGAAAAGAGTCATGGCTGTAGCCATGGGATTTGGGATCTAGAAGAAACTGATTACCTGGTCTTTATTTATTTATTTATTTTTCGCAACTTCGTTATTTGGATTTAATCTGTGAGGCTTCATAGTTGGTATCATACAAACACTTGTGTAAAGTGAAGAGTGCTATCCCAAACTTGCAAAAAGATGCATAGAATAAATCATATAACAGTGTTATGATGGATTAGTCTTGCATTATCTTGATACCTACTAATATCATATAATGTTTGAACGTTAGTAATGTTCGAAAAAAATACATGATTGAAGGCGTTAGAAGAAAACTAGAAATCCATCCATAGGCTTCATTCTGGGAGGAGGAAGTTGAAGCAATTGCTGTTGTGTTACTTGCAGCTATTTTGTTGGTCCTGTGTATAATTTTACAATATTTTTTAGCACGTTGGATAATATCAACAGGAGTGATGTCGAAATCAAAAGGATAGTTGTCTCAAAAATTAGTTTCATATACAAGCAATTATCATAACCGGAAAAAAAAAAAAAAAAGAGTCGGTTGGTTTTTCTAGTGAGCAAGAGCTTGCGTTTCAAGGCTCTGTCAGCCTCTTAAACAACTAAATCAAATTGATAAAACAAACAGTTCAATCATATCAGACATCAATAAAGCAAATTTATAGAAACTTTTTACAACTAGGAAAAACATCAACTCATCAAACATAAGCAAGCACAGGCATGTAAATTCGTTGATAGTTCTGCAAACCATAAGCAGTAGTGAGTTAAAAGGTAGGTCTACTGGGCTAACGTTAACTATTAGAACACTGTGAAGCTGCTTTTTATGTGTTTCTTAAATCAAATCCCTGCAAAAGGAAGGGCAATTTGGCAGTTTGCCAATTCACACTACTTCCTAGCCAACAGGGGTAGTACTGCTGGGCGTGAAACAAGAAAAACCAACTAAGGAGTGAGATTTAAACGAAAAGGAGAAAGCTAGATACTTGTATAAATACTTGGATCCTTGTCGACTTTAGCTCCTGTACCTCCAAAACTGCAAGAAACATCACAGGCCCCATTTTGCTGGTAGTAACTGTTGAACGCAAAAGATGCCTGGGAGACAAAAGTGTCCGACTCAAAACAAGGTTGACCAGGCTGAATGGCAGAACAGTCCACATTGCCAGAGCCACATGCCCAATCCAAGGCATTCTGCAAGTTGAGTTGGGAGGCATTACTTGAGGCAATGTACCAAGTTGTGCCATTAAAACTGGTAAGATCTTGTGTTAATTTGAAGGCACATCAACGACACCTTTTCCAGAGAAATTCAGATTATAGACATTTGTTTGATCGGGATAAAATAAACGCCGGTTCCTCTCAGATTCCATACAAGGCTTCCTGTTCTCATCGAACAATGAGAAAATATAAACATCTAGCTCCTCTCCAGGCTTTTGCTGTTATTGATGTCACGACGAATCAAGTTGGTGTTGTATGTCTGGGCATTATCAGGAGTTGCAGCTGTCTACTTGGATGACCATTAGGATGGCCAGCCTGTCTCAGTGTCCATTACTTTAATTGTTCTGAAATTCAGAGCCATCAGTGCAAAATCAATGGCATCAATCTGAGCATCTAACATATTTGTATAAAGCAAATCTGTGTTTGGATCGATCACTTCTGAAGACGGCTCAAATAGAGCATAATCCCTATTTGGGGAATCCCTATAAGCATATTTAAGGATAAGTGTTAATCATGAAAGGAGACTGGTTTCAGCAAGGAATTCCCGCATAGGTTTCAGAAAGCAAGCATGGCTGCTATTAAAAACCCCTGCAGATGGTGAGAAAGAACGGGACAAAAACCCAAGGGAATGGGTGCTTGAAATTTTTATATTTTTATGCAAACCAACTGTTTTTGAGGGCTGTGAGGAGATTGTGCATGGCAAGTACGAGTAGGGCAGAGGCATTACTGGAGCTTTCTGTTACTTCAGTGCCAACAGTTGTGTATGTGATTCTTGCAGGCGGGTGGTAAGGAAGGATGCTGTTCTTAAAAAAATTGAGAGAATGGTGCTAGGTCGGAGCTAGTAATTCCAATCATAAGTTCAACTCCAGTGTTTGCAAAGACCTTGAGAACTTGGATATTAGAGTCATAAATCCTCAAATATTTAATTTTATGTTGTTGAACCAGAACAGCAACCTTATCAGGAGTTGGGAGGTCATCGGCATTTCTTCCATTGCAAACTCCAATAATGCTTCCTCTGCACAAAACTGCAAAAGAAAATAAGTTTTGTAAAGCACAACCAGCAAGATAGAGCAGAGGAGCCGGTCATTTTTTGGACATGCAACTAAAAGCAAAGTTATCAGGAACACTAGAAGTCACGGCTATTTTTCTATAACATCTTCAATGAACCAAACATCATAATATATTCTAACTATCAATGGGAGCTCTTTGGAGTCGGTGCAACTGCAGAAGCAGTCTCAAACACATTGCCAGTGATGGATTTCCCTTCTCATTAATTTAGCACTACAATGATAGATGTTAGGGCTTCAATGTAGGAAAATTGGAGGAAATGGAAAAAGGATGGAACACGGGAGAAATAGGCTTATTGCTTTAAGCTGAAGGCTTTGGTTTGCATCATTGCTTGAATGAAAGGTTGCATGTTTTTATTTCATACTCTCCAAGAATCAAACAATGAAATGAAACTAAATGCTTTGAAGACACACTGTCCCCATTATAGCTTTGTTTTAAATGCAGGTAGACTTGAGAAATAAATCTAATGACATAAAGTGGTCCTAATGGCATCCCATTGTTAGGAACAATTCTTCAGCAAGCTCCATTTACTCTTCAAATTAAGGTGAACGTACGAAGATTTTGAAATTCTACCATTATGACTTGGTCCTTTCATTTAAAAGCAAAATAATTTGCAGAAAGAATGAAAAACAACAACTTATTTAAGCTATCTAAATGCTATTGATATAAGGAGTTGATATTTTTATTTTTTATTTTTTTGGTTTATGAAGCCATCAAGTTTATACACACTAAAACATGGTCAGCTGGATAATGTTGAACTAATTAATTCAGTCAATAACACATTCCAAATGTTAGCCAATCTATCTCACAATAAATAAGTTGGAATCCAGACTATTCATCATCTGTAATCACATCTAGCGCCTAGTAGTAATGAGCAAAATCACGACGGGTCCAAAACTAGAATATTGAGGGGAAAAAAATTGCAAATACAACTACTGGTAATAAATAAACATTGTTTTTGTTGGCATTACTTCAACAAACAGACACAAACCCAAAATTTGTTTTTACTATAATTAAAAAAAAATTGATTTTGGTAAGAAAAATGAATTAGTCTATATAGAAAAAGCACAGAGCTAGACTTCATAGTTCATACACATTGGACCTTCAAAATCAGAAAAGGTAAAATTTTCAGTACAGACATTGAAAGAAGCAGAGGGAAAATGATTAGTACAAAGAATGAAGAGGAAGAAAGAAGAAAGCATACCCAGAAATGTAAGCAACAGTAATATTAACAAAATAAGTTGCTTGAATCCTCTCGCCATTGCGCTCCAAGTGAACTAACTTTGTCTTTGTTTGGTTAAAATGCTTTAAGGGATCCTTTTTTTCCTACTTTACTCTTTTGTCTGTGACTACAACGGTCATGGAATGGTTCAGGAATCTTCTCTCTCTCTGACTCTGAGCTCGAGAGTAGAGAGAGAACTCTTAAGCTTTAAGTTGGTGTGTACGCTGAGGTCGATGTTTGTGTTAGACAGACGGTTGGTCTCTGACAGGATTCCAGAATTATTTTGTGAAATATAGCTATGGGAGAGTGCCTTGATTCCGCGGACAGGCATGTCTGTGCTCCCGCTGTAAATTTCTTTAAGCTTTTTGATTGTTTTGATGGATACCCTACATATTTATTTATTTTTTATTTTAACATACGAATTATGAGATGTTTGGATTAAAAGTCTTTCTATTATCTTTTATCACGAAATTGAATTAAATCATCTAAAAAAATCATCAATATAATCTTTTCAACATTGGAAACAACCTTTTCATATATATATATATAACTATTTTTCCGCTCAAATCAAATTTAAATGTTTGAGTTTTAATTTTTTTATTTGGAATTTCTAATTCTAAAAACACTAAAATTCAATGATAGTTGGATTTAAAATTGGTATGGATGAACTCACATTGATAATACCTTTTATTTAATAGTGATTTTATTGTCAATCACAATAAGAAAGATAGGTTTTTTTGGTATCCAACCTTTTAATTTTTTTTTCTATTTTAGTGCCCAACCTTTGATCTTTCATAGTTGATACCCAAGTTTTGATGCCTAAGTTCACTCGAATTCTGATTTTCCCGATATATTCGACAAATTTGCCACATGATAGTAAAAATGCTACATGACAGTAAAAAATGTCAAGTGGTTGTCAACTCGCCACATCAGCATATCATACTTTTAGATAGCTATGGACACTAAAAATAATAATAATAAATAAATCAAAGGTCGTGCATTAAAATAGAAAAAAATTAAAGATTGGGCACCTAAATTGAAAAAAATATATATATCAATGGTCGGAAATAAAAAATATAGTTTTCTCAAAAAATTTATTTTAGTTTTCTTACACCAAATATTTATCTCTTTCTTATACTCTAATATATCTAATCTTTATTATAAATGGATTTCAAGAATTTCTTGTGCTTCCATAATATATATAATCTCTTAAAACTTTCTTTTTAATATTAAAAGTCATATAATTTTTAAATTCTAAAAACATCGACAATTACATCCATGCAAATTTTCTTATTATTATGCTTATTGCATAAACAATTTTAACAATACATTTACTTGTTTAGCTTAATTCACAATTTACTCTTTATCTCTATCATTCTCGTCATCGCTAAAAAAAATATTACACTTTAAACGTTCAAATAAAAAAATTGATCACTAAACTTATTATGTTGATTCTATTACATCTCAGCTTACTATAAGAAGTTTAACAAGTTATTGGCTACTACAAGGCTATGTCACTAGTGATACATTAGTCAATTTTCTCCCTAGATAGAGGAAGCTATTTTTTTTTTTTTTTTTGTAACTTTCTCCATTGACCAACCATTTGTCTTGCAAATAATAATCATAATTGCATCTTATATATCTTTTATTTTTGTAAATTTAATCTTAATTGAACCTTATATATATTTGGATTAAATGACATAATTTTTGTTTCTAACTCAAAAACTCCAACTAGAGAAATCTAGGTACCATAATACCATTCTAGATAGCTTGAGATGTACTATAAAAACATTTTGAAGACTAGTACAATTTAGAACTCTATGATTGTCAAAACCTTACAAGAAACCCACTAGGTCAAAATACTAAAAAAAAAAAAATTGATTTTTTCTATAATTAAAGAAACACATTGAGGACTTCTATAATCATGCCTCAAACATGAATATAACTCAAAAACATAATTAGGCATAAAATAAACTAAAAAATATTGATTAAAGGGAATAAAAATATAGAATTATACACTTATCATTTTTCCATAAGGATTCTTTACTATAATTGTTTATATATATATATATATATATATATATATATATATATATATATATATATATATATATATATATATATATATATATCATGCTTATTGGGTTTGGATTCACATTTAATCAAAAGCCCATCTTTATTGTGAATTCATAATTAAATAGGAGGTCCATATTTAATTAGGACTAGAATAATTAGTCCTTATTAAGTTTGGATTGGGCTTTTAAGTTATCAAATCCAAATTAGTTTAAGAAGTTTATTTGAGTCTTTTTTCTTAAAATTCTTTTTCTTTTTGAACTTTTAGGACCTAGTATTTGATATATTTGATGAATAAAATATGTGAGATTTTTGTCTAACTTTGTGTTTCCTTGGATTATGACGTGCTCTTTTATATCCTTATAGTGACCAACTAAGGTGGATTCTTTATCAACACAGTCTAGCATTTTATGGTGGCAACTATGTTGACAAGATTTTTTTATGTACATATCTCATAAACATATTAATCTTTCTTTTTCATAGTGGACTCTATCTTCAAGGGAGATTATTGGGCTTATATATATATATATATATATATATATATATTTTTATTGTTTGGTTGAAAGATTGAATTTCAAATTTATCCTAGGTTAACTAATGTCGGCCTTAAAGCACTTTTGGTAGCTAAGGTTGTTTGTTTAATTTGATTTTTTTTTTCAATCATATATGTTAGGTATAAATAGGTATTTTTTAATTTTTTTTAAAAAATAAAAAATAAAAAGAGGAAGTGGGTTTTTGGACGGTGTAAATTTTATAGGATTTTAAGTTGTATGTGGATATAATTTTGACTTAATGACAAAGGAGCCTCAGATTGTTGGATTGACCTAGGAATGTAATTTCATCTAGGTGTCCACTAGATTTTATTAAAATTTTAGAACTATCTGACAAGATTTTTTTTAGGTTTCAAGCTGTTGTAAAATTTTTGGTTTTGTTAGAATTTCATAATTATATGGGTTAGTGGAGTTAGTTTGTCCAAATTTGTTGATTTGGTTTGAATTTGGCATGGGGAATTTTTATGGGCTGGATGTTGTGTGTTTTAAGCTTATTTATGACCAACTAATTGCTTATTGGTTTCATGTTTGGTGGTGGTTTGTATTTTCTTTTGCATGTTATGTTTATCTTTACCAATATGACATCAATTTAGTATCAAGACTGAGGTGATTTCTACATGTTTATAGGCCAATTGTGAAGATGTAAAAACAAAACTGATTGGGCATGGTTGATGATCAAAATGATGATTGGTTAAGAGATAATGTACTTTTTACTTGATGCACATCGTATGATATGGTATGTAATGTGGTCATCAATAAAGGAAATTATAGGAATTTATTATTGACAACAATGGTGGAAAAATTAAACCTATCTTTAAAAAAACAAGTTTAGAGCTCTAAAAAAATAGGAGTTGCCAAGAAACCTTACGAAGAAGAAAGAGGCAGCAACCATGGTGGCTCGACCATCGCCGTTGTCAGGTCCCACATCAATCGGAGGCAGTTTCCTCTTCTTTTGGTTGCAGTGTAACCTTAAGAGTTAAAGGACAAGACAGAATCAAGCTACATCCAGCATGGTTTCACAGATGGTACCAATCTCGACCAACAACGCTATGGAGATGCTGTAATCTTCTAGCATTCTGATCAGTGCTACCCAGAATGAATTTGGACTGAATAAACTATCACAGTCCTTTTGTGCTCATGTTGTTGCCTAACCAGTGGTAGTTCCAGATATCTCAAATAAGTCAAAGTTTTCCCACTCACAACCATATCCTTGGCACCAAGGCAACCATGCTATATTACTTTAGAACCAGCATGTTTGTTCTCTTCTATAGAGATGCAACAAGCTTCCTCCCAATTCCAACACACTCTCATTGTGAACTTCAGTGGAGGGAGGCCATCCATCAGAGATATTTATGGGCATATTCAGTGGTGGTGCCATCTAAAGAAGGAATCAGTTATAAGTTTACTTGATCCACATCATGTAATGTTTAGATTGGAGTCTAAAAAGGAATTAGTTTTAGCCTTATCCCATGAAGACCATAAGATTCAAAATAGTATGTACCAAATGTTTAGATGGAGTGTAGAGTCTCAATTTCAAAAAAAGAACCCTATAATTTCCATATGGGTTAGGTTGCCACACCTTCTCTTGATGTTCTTCAATCCAACCATTCTAAAAAGAATTGAGGAATGAATAGGGAAATTTCTACGGGTAGATGAAAGAACCTTAGCATTAACTTACCCAATGTGTGTCAGATTTTGCTTGGAGGTGGATGTGTCCAAGACTCTTCCAAGTCGAATTTGGGTGGGAAGCTCCAAGGAGAGTGGCTTCTGGTAGAAGATTGAATATGAAGGAAATCTCATTCATTGTTTTTCTTATGGTTTAATAGGTCATACTACAACTAGTTGTCGTAAAACTCTTAAGCCTCCACAGTTGTAGAATGTACTAAATAAAAAGAGGCAGCGGGTTCATGATGTTAAGCAGGCTATGCATGAAAACGCAAATAAGCAACAATGGTTCCTATGTAGAGATAGATAACAAATGTTTTGGGTTCTCATTTGGAGTACGTAGGGATAGCAGAAATAGGTCGAAAGATGGGCAAAACAATAGTTGTGATAGAGGCTGGAGAAAACAGTAATCATGGAATTTCTATAGGGGAAAAGGACATGGTTAATGGGAGGCTGGGAGAAGATAGGTTGACAAGAGTTGTAGATAAATTTATGGGAGATAAGTCAATATTTTTGAAGATGCATGAAATTGAAAATAAAAGGGTGGATCATAATACTACAAGATAGGAGTGTATTGGTATGGGGGAAAAAAGATAAACAAGAGATACAATATGTTTATAGCAAAAAAATGCAAACGAAGCTGTGGATATCCCTATATTTTTAAATCCTTTCTCTAAGTTAGAACTTGCAGGGGAGGTTAAAGAACATGAAAAGGAAATAAATGAAGGACCAAAATAGCATGTGTTGGTTTTATTGGAAGGGGATAATTTGGGTTGTACATGCTAAGGGACAGTTCAGGGTATAGACTCTATAGTGGTGAAACACAAATCAATGTGTGAAATTGCAAATGAAATTATAGATACCCTTATAGACTCAAATCTTTACTCAGTAGTAGAATTGGTGGAGGAGTTCGTAGAACATGGAAAGGATATAGATAGAGTATCAAAACAATATGGTTTGGTTTTATTAGAGAGAGATAATTTGGATAGCACAAGCCACAGGATTTTTCAGTATACAAGGTCTGTAGTTATGAAACACGGGTTAGGGAGGTCAATTGGTAGTCTTCTCTAGTTTTGGAACATAGGGATTAGTTGATTTCGACAATATTAGTGTGCACTGACAGTGTAAAACGAAATGGCAATAGAGAGCTGGAATTGAATAGTAGGAGTTTACCTTCGAGGTATGCAGAGATTAAAGGGGCAAGAGGTATTATGTGGAAGGGTTCTATATTGAACATAAACTTCAATACTTAACTAGCAATAGATTATGGTGATAAAAAAAATTAGCATGCACTCTAATCAATTAATCACACAATCATAATAAAATAATACAAAAAACATAAAATACTAAAAAGAATAATTTTAGAATTATAACATCTTAAGATCTCACAATAATTTTATTAAAAGCATTACCTTGCCTTCAACCAAGATAAATATTTAGTGATTCATGGTTGATTATAAGAAAAATTTTCTATCTAGAAGAACCAACATAGGAATCCCAAAATAAAATCCTAGTCTCATAATTTATAGCTAAAAGTAAGTTTACGAGCATACATATGTCAATCCCACATGGCCTCACAGGTTATTTAGTAAAGGCACACGGTTTATTTCTTTATCTCATATGGTTTAGAGCCTTAGAGAGCTAGTGTTGTATGGTTTGCTAAATAGGGGTACATGTCTATGTGCCTTTTTATGCTCCATCTCATGTCTCATTTTCCTTAACCTCTTGTCCTTAGCATCTGTTTGTATAGAATTTTACCTTTTTCCCATGTCACTTCATTCTACCCATATACCTTATTCTTTGAATTTCTTCTAGCTTTGACATACACGAGTGTGTCTCTTTTTAGTGCATGTCATGTGAAATGCTTGCTCGTGTGTGTTTCTTTCCTCTTGGGAGATAACTTATCCTTGACATATGCACGGTCATGTCACTTTCCTTACTCTCATCATATGGAATGCTAATGCTCGTGTGATATTTGTTACTAGATAACCATATGGTTTCGTCTTTCGTTTCACATCTCCAGGTAGCTATTTTCTTTTATAATACACATGATTGTGTGTCTTTTAAGCTTATTTGGTGATTTTGGCTTCTCTTTGCTTGGGCTTAGGCTTTTTTCTTTGATTTATCATTTTTCCTATAAAACCTAAAATCATTATCTTGATCTTAATTTTCTAAATATAATACAATGGTACTATAAAGTTTAATGTAAAAAAGCATAAAAGTTATGCAAATTATATACTCATCAAATACCTCTACACTTAAACTTTGCTAGTTCTCAAGCACAACAAACAAAACCAAAGCCTAACTCACTTTCATAGAAATCATGATTGTATTTATGCATTTAGCACATGCAATAAGATTTTTAACCCCTAGGTTACCCTTAGTGGATGCATTTTGTCTCGTGAGGGTTTTTAGACGATAAACACATAAAATTGCTTAAATAAATGTCATGCCGATATGATTATCCTTCAAACATTGATGCTTAATTCAAAATTTAACAAAATTAAACAATCAAATTGATCATATTTAAGAAATTATTCTCATATCTATGCATGGCGCTAAATTAATTTATGCATCTTTATAACCAATCACAATTCAAACATGTAAAAGTTTTTTTGCCATTACCCTTTTTCTACTACTACAAGCAAAAGTAATAAATTGAGATTTTCTTTTATCAAAATTTTTCTTGCTTTAGCATCCCAATTTTTTTCAAGGCCTTTAATTGTTCTTCCCTAAATAATCACTTGCCTTTTTACGTGACTACCGGGATTTGTGATAAAAGCAATTGGTTACCGAGCACGTTATAAACTTAGAGTGCTTTGCATATTCATAATTTAAATATCGTTTGATATAAAAGTAAATATTTGTGATGAATACCCCTGGTTACTAAGCAACTCAAATCATTGGAGTACATTTTTACTTAATTAGGCCAACATTTTGAAATTAGAATGCTTTATTTTTCCTTTCTTTTTTAAATATCTATAATAGTTAGAAAATTTCATTATTTAAACCATACTTAGGTCTAGTTTCAAAGGGTACTTGTAAAATCAATATTACTATTAAATCATGCTCAATCATAAAGATATAAAGAGTTTTCTAACATACATGCGTTTTTAAGACAATAATATCCAAAACAATCTCAATTATCGCATCGATTTTATTAAAATATGTCATCAATCGATAATCAATAAGGACATCATACTAAACTATGACATTCATTTTTTTTTAATTAGGAAAATAACCTAAAAATTCAAACATTCAAACAAAACAATCATAATACATAAATAATCAAAGAAAACCTAAACTTTACCCTCATGATTAAATTGTACATTGTCCTCAATATAACAAAAAATTAATCATCAAAATATAAAGTGTAAAGAGAGAGAGAGTAAAAGATCAAATCCGGATGGTAGCGAGTTGAAAAGGGAGGTGGTAGAGACAAGGGAGCCAAAGATACATGTCCATGCCTCTTATGGTGCACGGCTCGTGTAAGGCTCTTCTGCCCATTTCTCTATCTTTCCCGGGAAGTTGAATGATAAGCATGGGACATATAAACGTGTGTCATGTTTTTACTTGTGCCTCTTATACTTGTCTTGAAATTGCAATACAATAGGAGGTCACAAGGGTGTGCCTTTTCTAACAAGTAACCCATGTCCATATCTTACTACTCGTGCCTTTTCTCCTCCAAAGTGAACTTTAGAATGTAAGGCTCCCACATTGGCAAGCTTTTGCCAATGCACATACCGTGCCTCTTCCTTCATTCTCCTTTTTGTAAAGCCAAAAAACACCTATGCTACATACATTCTTAAAATCAAGTTAATCATGTAGATAATTTAGCAAAAAAATAAAAACAAAGTAACTTAAACTTTAACTGAAATAGCAAAATTTAAAGTAAATTCATTAGGTTGCCTCTTAATAAGTGCTTTTGTTTAATGTCGTTGGCTCGACTTCACACTTGTCCATCAATTTCCTCAATTTTAAGGTGTTACGGATCCTATATATGGTTCCTTGACTCCAGTTCCACATGACATATCACTTTCACATAATTAGAGAAAGCTCTTCCTTTAATCTTGAAAAAAAAAGGAATTAAAAGTGATAATGGCATAAACAAGATCTGTAAAATAGAAAGCAATAATGGCAAAAGAAACTTAAATTTGTTAGCCTTGGTATTGAACTCATTTGGAAGGAAAAATTCAATAGTGGGCACATAAAAAATATTTTCCAAGTCCACTTGCTTAAAGTCATTTTCTTGTTTGATTGGTTCATTAATAGGCATAATCTTGTTTGTCTCTTCATTATAAGTTGGCTCTATTTCAAAATCTTTAACAACTTACTCTTCCTTCAGACATATCTTCTCCCTCATTTATTGTACTTAAATGTTCTTCTAAAATCATTTTTATTTTGAAGAGAAAGTTGCTTAATGCTTGTGCTTTTACCTCGCCTATTAATATAGCCAATTGACATATTCGAGTCTCTAAATTTTGAAAGCTTACTCTTGTTTCTTATTAAAATTACATAGTATCAGTCATATGAGAACTAATGATATCCATAAGAGAGATACCCGAATTTAGAGTAACTTGTTATCTATCTTGGGATGATGGTTTCATTTGTTGATATCTTTGACAATTGTCAACCATTTAATTCTTATAACTAGTGTAAGTGCTTGGTGTAGGGATTATATTGGTACTGTGGATGTTTTGAAAGTCCATTCATGGCATAATACAAACCAATAGGTTCTTCTGAAGCATTGGACACTTATCGGATGAATGCCCTATCATTGAACATATACCACAATTATGGACTTGTTGCATATTTTCTACAATCATTTGACACATTAGAGGGGTTAGGTTAGAAATCTGTTGCTAATAAAAGATAAGTCTTTGAATCTCTTGAATTGTAGGTTATATTGAGAGCCAAAGTATGAGAATACCAAGTCAAGTTAAAAAACGAGATAAAAACAACCGGAATATCAAGAAACAATCAATTTGAATGCAATTCCCTAGCAACGGCGCCAACATTTGATGGTGTGTCATACCGCTAACAAATGAGATTATTTTTATATTTTATTATAGAGCCCAACCACAAGGGTATAGAAAAGGCAAGCAAGGGTCGAAACCATAGGAAAGTAGCCTAATCAATGGTTTTTATTGATCGATTGTTCTAACGTGCAATGGGAATAAAAGAAGGGTTTTTTTGTTGTGATTTATAAGCAATCAAAAGTAAATAGAGTTGAAAATGGTAAGGAAAAGCCTTGATTGAAATTTAGTATCCACTTTTGGTTTGATCATTGATTCAAATATTAACCTATTCTTAACATGAATATTCACCATAGGACTATAACATGCATGTTGACCCTATTCTTTTCTTATTGATTCATTAACCAAACAAACAATATTTGATTAATCCTTAATTATCGAACAATGTAGTAGATGTTGGCTAAATTTAATCAAATAACAGCATTAAATAGAGAAACACAAATAAAGCTAAACCTCCTTTCTAGATGCTTGCATATCACCTTGTAAAGCTTATAGTTGTTTCATTATGTAGTTATATAATTAATAGCATTGCGTGTGATGCATTAACACTATCATTTACCAAATTCTACCTACTTGTATGGATATGCCAAATAATGTAGGTGTTTCTATTGTTCTTGAACATCTCAAAATTTTTTTACTCCTTGTAATTTCGAGTTGACCTCTCAAAAAACATTATGAAGATTGAAATAGAAAAAGTTTTCCAAAATGATTTTTGTGACATACTACTTGTTACACACCTTTAGTTATTGGGAATTGTAATAAAGGCTCTTATGTATTCTTGTTCCTAATAGCTTGGGCTAAATATAATGCATGGTGTTATGCCTCTATTTGTCTATAGAAAATAAATGCAACTCCAAAGTCTGTCATTACACCGCACTAATTTGGTTTTGTGTTCCTCTTAAATTCTTCATAAATGATACAACTAATGTGATAGAGTAAAATCATCATATAAACAACTTACTCATTAGGTTTGGCCTAGTGGGTGGAAAGCCTAGTGGATCCAAAGTCCCTCT